TATATATATATATATATATATATATATATATATATGTGTGTGTGTGTGTGTGTGTGTGTGTGTGTGTGTGTGTGTGTGTGTGTATTCCTCCTTTCCTGTTGCCTTCCACAAATTCCTAATAGTCTTAATATCTTCCAAAAGGCAGTGTCTTTTTATGTGCTAATGAGTTGACTGGTGGCCACAGCCCCTTCCGCAGCTCTAAACAGAACCAGGAAAGATTAGGGGTTGAGACTTTAAATCCCCACCCAATCTCTGGGAAGAAATACCTGAACACTACTTGATGACCAGCAATGTCACGGAAGTCTTTGTGTTCCTTAGTAAGAGAATGGGCACTTTGCTTTCTTCCCCCTCAGTATCAGAAGTATTGCTTGGCATGCACTTTGATTCTGAGGTTATTAGATCTTAGTTACATAGAGTGTAACTTGGTTTCTGAGATAAAACTGTACATAAACTTGGGGATCAGAGTTCACTGCTTAATTGATAGTCAGACTTCAACTTCACAGGATCTCTGTGTTTCTGTGTCCAGAGATGGATTGTCAGTCACTGTCTTCCCTGGCTCACCAATAGCATTCAGCTCAACTGATCTCTCTAAACCCTACTTCTTTTCCTGGCATTCAGGATGTTGCTTCCAGCTGTTCGTGCTTAGACTCATTCTTCCTTGTCTTCCAGTTCCTAATTTGTGCCGAACTTGGTCCAAGTTTATTTCATGGCCAACTTCTCTCTCTTTTTTTTTTTAATTGATATTTATTTATTTATTTTGGATTTTTTCGAGACAGGATTTCTCCGTAGCTTTTGGTTCCTGTCCTGGAACTAGCTCTTGTAGACCAGGCTGACCTCAAACTCCCAGAGATCCGCCTGCCTCTGGCTCCCGAGTACTGGGATTAAAGGCGTGCGCTACGACCGCCTGGCTTTTATTGATATTTATTGAGCTCTACATTTTTCTCTGCTCCCCTCTCTGGCTCTCCCCTCTCTCCTTCAACCCTCCCCCAAGGTCCCCATGCTCCCAATTTACTCAGAAGATCTTGTCTTTTTATACTTTCTACTTCCCATGTAGATTAGATCTATATAAGTCTCTCAGTGTCCGTATTGTTGTCTAAATTCTCTGGGATTGTGGTTTGTAGGCTGGCTTGCTTTACATTTAAAAGCCACCTATGAGTGAGTATATGTGATAATTGTCTTTCTGTGTCTGGGTTACCTCAATCAAAATAATGTTTTCTAGTTTCATCCATTTTCCTGCAAAATTCAAGCTGTCATTATTTTTTTTCTACTGTGTAGTACTCCATTGTGTAAATGTACCACACTTTTCTTATCCATACTTCGATCAAGGAACATTTAGGTTGTTTCCAGGTTCTGGCTCTGACAAACAAAGCTGCTATGAACATGGTTGAGCACGTGTCCTTGTGGCACGATTGAGCATCCTTTGGATATATACCCAAAAATGCTATTATTGAGTCTTGAGGAAGGTTGTTTCCTAATTTTCTGAGAAAGCCCCACAACCTCTCCAGCATAAGTTGTCATCAGTGTTTTTGATCTTGGGCCATTCTTACAGGTGTAAGATGGAATCTCAGAGTTGTTTTGATTTGTATTTCTTTGATGACTAAGAATGTTGAACATTTCCTTAAGTGTCTTTCAGCCATTTTAGATTCCTCTGTTGAGAGTTCTCTGTTTAATGGAGGTCTGTACTCCATTTTTTTTATTGGATTATGTGATCTTTTGGTGTCCAATTTCTTGAATTCTTTGTATATTCTGGAGATCAGACCTCTGTCTGATGTGGGGTTAGTGAAGATATTTTCCCATTCTGTAGGCTGTCATTTTGTCTTGTGGACCATGTCCTTTGCTCTACAGAAGCTTTTCAGTTTCTGGAGGTCCCATTTATTAATTGTTTCTCTCAGTGTCTGTGCTTCTGGTGTTTCTTTTAGGAAGTGGTTCCCTGTGCCAATGCGTTCAAGTGTACTTCCCACTTTCTCTTCTATAAGGTTCAGTGTGGCTGGCTTTATGTTGAGGTCTTTGATCCATTTGGCTTGAGTTTTGTGCATGGTGATAAATGTGGATCTATTTTCATTTTTCTACATGTTGATATCCAGTTATGCCAGCAACATTTGTTAAATATGCTTTCTTTTTTCCATTTGATATTTTTTGCTTCTTTATCAAATATCCGGTGTTTGAAGATGTGTGGATTGATATCTGGGTCTTCTATTTGGTTCCATTGGTCCTCCTGTCTGTTCTTATGCCAATACCAGGCTGTTTTCAGTACTGTAGCTTTGTAGTAGAGTTTGAAGTCAGAGATTGTGATGCCTCCAGAAGTTCTTTTACTGCCCAGGATTTTTTAAGCTATCCTTTTTTTTTTTTTTTTTTTTTTAATTTTCCAAATGAAGTTGAGTACTGTTCTTTTGAGGTCTTTGAAGAATTTTGATGGAATTTTGATGGGCAGATTGTCCAGTTTCTGATGTCAGCTTCATTCCCGTCATTTTGAAGCCACGTGGAGACTCCTGTTGCTCTGTTCTCTATACAGTCTGAGCCCAGAAGGAGGCTAGGTATCTGCATTGAAAAATTCATTGTGAGTGTGAGTGTGTGTGCTTGAGTGTGCATGTGATGTGTGAGTGTGTGTGTGTATACATGACACATGGGTTTTGAACTCAGGTCATTAGTCTTGCGCCATGAGGACTTGTACCCAGTGAGCCATCTTGCTAGCCCTGGACGACTGGACTTTAAGGACAGGGAATGAGTGAAGAAACTCAGACTTGAGCAGTCTTACATTATCACCAGGTGCTGATCATAAACAAAGTGCTGATGAGCCGTCTCCACAAATGAACAAACCTTTGTTGGTCTAAATCCTAAGCAATTAATTTCTAATAATTACAACAAGCTTATATGCAAACTTCAAGTCAATACATTCCAAAAACGTTGGCCCCTGCCCCAAATGAACGTACTTATATCACTATTCTTTTCAGGAATTTGATTCTAATGCCTCCTAGTCATTCAGTTGCCAACCCCATCCCAGGTAGACTTTGAAGCACGTTATAGTCTGTGATCATCCAATCTCATTTAGGACATAAGTTAGTGTATTTGTTATTATAAACCATGGGTTACTTTATTTAAACCATGGATTAAAAGTGAAAACTGACATACCAATTATAGACATGAGGAATCATGGGCACTTGGAATTTTATATGTGACTAAAATTTTAAACACTGAAGCTGAGTGAAAGCAATGAGGTTTATTCCTACAAGAGGCAACAATATAAAGGTATGTTTTTTTCTCTTTTAAAAATATACAAATATCAATTTGAAAATATGGATAAGTTAATTTTTTTCTTTTTCTGATTTTTTAAATATGCACCTTGCTTTTGTAGCATTGCACCATTAAACTCTTTCCCCAGTTCCGTATCTTTTCACTAAACATTCGCAGGCATGATTACACGCTTGCAGTTCAATAAGTGAAAATTCTCACTGCTTCCTTTTGGGTCACAATTTAATAGGTTTATTTTATGAGCTCTCTAAAACCAGTGTTGTTCTGTGGAGAGGACAATGTTTGTTTACTTAAGGTGTCAAGCACTCTGGATGCAACACTGAGTCTGAGCTTCCCACAATGCTTGAATGCGATCTAAACCACAGGCCAAAGACCTTCTCTAGCGTAGTGGGGAAAGGTTCTCTTTCACATTGCTAGGCTCCTGGCTGAGGCACAGATGTTAGCTAGCTTTCTACAACTATAACAAAAGACTTGTGATAACCAAGTTAGAAAGATAAAAGGTTTATTTTGGCCCACAGTTTTGGGGCTACCAGTCAGTGATTGCTTTGGTTTTGTGGCAAGGCTGTGCATTGTCGGGGGAGCATGTGGAGAAGCAAAATTGCTCACCTTTTGTCCAAGAAGCAAGTTTAAGAAATACGAGGGGAAATAGCCGGGTGCGTGAATGTTCCACCACCTACAAAGAGCATCACTTTGGGGACCATGGTGGTAGCCGTGGGGCTCTGGAAGATGTTCCACACCCAAACTAAAGCACCTCTACAATAAAAGGCAGATTAATAAGAGAAAAAAACAATACAAATAAACCTTTAGGTGGTACAAAAGACTTAAAAAAAAAAAAAAAAAAAGAAGACCAAAGCAACAGGGAATGCCATGTCTTCTTGTGACACCTGGTGGAGAAGTGGACAGCTGAGCAGACTGTGACTGGATGAGTGCACAAGACATGAGTGGGGGTACGGAGGCCGGCATGTCCAGATTCTGAAAAGACAAGGATGCTCCTTTCTTCTGGGAACAGGACCAGCATCTTCCAAATGAAGTTCTCTCGCCCTGCTCCGGGGAAGAAGGCTGAGGTGCTATGTTCCAAACCTCATCACCATCGTCTGTATTTGCTAATTCTTGGTTCTTTGCAGCACCGTAGGTTCCAAGGATAGCCAACTTGTAACTGGGCCCCACGTGGCCCAGTCCTGTGGCAGTTTAAAGAAACTTTTTTTTTTTAGCCTATCGAAACACATAACTCATACCAACATTGGTTTTTGCGGACAGGACGTCAATACATAACACAGGCTAGCCTTGAACTCATGAACTCTGCCCTCAGTCTTCAGAGTGTGGGGATTACAGGTTTGTGTCAGCATACCTGGCTTCAACTTTTTGTTTTATTTAATAAAGGGTTTCATTCTTTAGCCCAGGCTGGCCTGAAACTCACTATGTTGTCTACCCAGGCTGGCTTCAAACTCTCGGCAATTCTTCTGCCTCGGTCTCCGGAGTGCCGATGTCGTAGAGGCAAACCCACGACACCTGGCATTCATTTTTTTAACTCCCGTCTAGAGAAGCCACACAAAGAGAAGAGGAAATGTGTTCTAAATATATGTTTGAAAGCTTGTCTTTCAATTTCAGCTGCTCCCAGAGTGCCCACTG